TCCCAAATCTTGTCATCAGCTAGAAGCATTTCTTTCCACTGCTTTGCGAATTTTTTTGCGGCCTCTGTAGGTCTCCAATGGAGAATTCCAATGTTGAAGGACTCAGCAGCTACTCAAGGTGATAGACAAAATCATCAACAGTCTTCAAAAAACAAATAAACATGTGCATGTGGAAAACTATACACAATAAAATGAGAGATGAAGAGAAGTTAACTGATATTTAGAGTTTCTTTATTTTAGAGTTAAGGCAACTACAACTACGTTTTCGGCACACAACTAATGATAATTCAGATTTCACTATTGTGAGATTCCCCTTACTCTATGAGAGGAAACCGAACTTATCAAGATTAAAAGATCTTGTGGTGTTCAATCCTTTAAATCTTAGGTTCCTTTCTGCAAGATATTTGTGGGTCGAAGATTTTCTTCCAACTTTTAATATTATACCAAGGTTGGTAGCTGGAATAAGTCATTGAGCTGAGGTCTATTCAAGGTTTCAATTCTAATTTAGAGGATCCAAACTTTGCTTTCGCATTCTTATGCCATTCTTGATATTTAGAAAAGCACCATTTCATGTTTGTTAGATGACATTTGACTCGCAAATGATAGGTTAAAAGTTCTACATAATTCATAAGTATGGTGTGTGCATAAAATACGCATGCTCTACAATAACCAGTATAAGCACAGTAAAAACAATGATAGTAAGTTTTCTTCGTGATATGATTGAATTCACCTTCTTGCCAAACTTCCAGACCATCATCAACTCTTGTGGGTATAAGTTGATCACTTGAAGTCAAAACATCTGCTTTTGGATAACGAGCAAGATATGGAAGTGGATTCTGTTATACAATTACGTAATTGAACATATGTTTTAGAAAGAACACATATCTAGAACAATCACATTATTAGCTTGGAGACATAGTAAACGATGAGCATAAAACATGATTGTGCATAATGTGGCAAAAAGAAATCATAATAGTGACAGTAAAATATAGAGCAAGAAGATAAAGACAAATGGTACTACTAGTGAGGATTAGTTAATCAAATAGTTGTTGAAATCTTTAATAGAAACTAAACAAAATCTCTTTGATGAACACACTAGTCAATACGAATTTTAATGCTCCTTTTGGACCATTCATAAAAAACTAAGCAAACATATAAATTAACCATAAATTAAAAGAGATTAACTTCAAAAAGTAAAGATCACCTTCACCCAAACCATGTCAGTATCACACATCAATATCTCAAAACCAAAGGGTAGTATTGAGTCTATCAGAATAACTCTTTCTCTCCCCATTTTATGAAAAGCTCGAGACCCCCAGCCAACATCTACTGTGGTCATATGGCTTTCCATGTCAAAAACTGGTATACCTTTCCAATACAGTGCCTCCAATAATTTAGTGTCCATTGCACCTGAAAGGCAGAAGGGCATCACTGCAAAGCTAAAAAAGTACATGACAGAACAAGACAGAAGACTTTAAATCGCCATGCTCACCAACAAGAAAGTTCGAAATTCCCAGATCTGTCAATTTTTTAACCCAAGTAAGAGTAAAATCCATCAATGCGTAGTTACCAAAAACCATAATTATAACGTTATCTTTCACCCTTTCCTGAACCATTGTTTTGGTCAGCCAGAAAGTCGTCAAAGGTGGCATCTTTTTATCATGAGGTGGAACATCCCAAATTGACTTTGGCCATACATTCTGTAGCCCCAGGAAAGGAGTGGGCACGATATGCACCGCTGCTGACTGAGAAGTGTTGAGTACTGGATCTTTAAAATGATGATTCTCATCTGGAAAAGCATGTGCAACTAACATTTAAAATTAAAGAACACATAATGGAAGAAAACCAAGGATTTCTGAATTGAAAAATGCCTTAGATACAGCCCCATTGGCAAAATTAGGACAGGTAAATATATAAAAAACAACTTTTTCGATGTTACATATAAAGCAGATAAATCAAATAATAATGCATTTGAAGACAAATTCAAAGAGCACGAGAATCAGACTAATGAACTGATAAAGAAAACTATTTTAAGTGTGCTGATCACATAAATACTAATGTCCATCTAATAGTATTTCTTTGTCGAAATCCTAACAACTTTAATTTTCTAATGAGAATTAAGCAAGCCCTTCCACAAGAACTAGACAATCAACAAAACTAGAAATATAGTATCTACAATTTAAGGATTTAGCTAGTGATCCATAGCTATAACATCTTTTGACACTCCTAAAACCCCTCACCTCTCTTGTAACATAAAAAAGTAATTCTCATCATTGAAGGAACAAGATATAGAATTAAGCGGGGTTGAAAACAATGATACCATCCCCTCACCTATATATATATATATATGTGTAATTTTATAATTATACATATATTAATTGGGTTTGGGGCAGGTTCAGTGTAGGGTATTAACTATACCAAACCCGAACTCAAAAGTTGAAGTCAGGTAAAACCCGAACCCGAACACAATCACATTGGGTTTTCCTCGTTAAATTCGGGTTGGTTTCAGGCGGGTAGCCGCAGGTTCGGTTTTCATTGTCTTCCCTATAAATAATTCATGCCAATAATCCGGTATTTTCAGGATACTCTGCACCCGACTAATTCGGGTCCAATTAAGAAGAGAAAACAAATTTAAGGGTGTAAATGTAAAGCTTTCTCATTGCCTTTTTTTTATTCATTCACATGACTAAAAACCATAAACCTCCTCGGCCCAAAGTTAAGGTTGTTAACTTGTAAACTAAACTTCACGAATTCAAGTCCTAGAAACAACCTCTCTAATCACGGGAACAAGACTCTATAGTCTATACATATACATTCTCCAGACCCCATCAGGTGGAAGCCTCGATCAAAATTCCGCCTTTCTAAGACCCAAAAATCAAACCCCACAAAGGATTGATTTTGATAAATGAAATTGACTACACTATCTCATTCAAATTCATGTATATATATATATATCAAATTCAAATTCAAAGATTAATGTATGGAATGATAAGATTAATAGTACTTACATGATGAAATTGAAGAGAAAAAGTAAGGAATAAAATGGTTAGTGGAATAAATAGCAGAGAAGACATAGAATGTGGAAACAACAATCCCAATGATCAGAATGATGACAAGTTTGTAGATAGTCTTTGAATTTGAAACTTCTTGAAACCCATTTCTCCCTCTCATCTTTCTTTCTATTATTTTATTCTATTTTACAATTCTATTATTAGTGTCTTTGTAAAATTTAAGATCATCAATTTTAACCATAACTATTATGTTTCCAAACTAAATATTATTTAATATTCCTTAACTACACTATGATTTTATTTGGGATATCCAATTTCTCATCTTTTTATAACTTTTATATTGTACTAGCGTGTATAGGTCAACCCGTTTTCCTACCGTATGTAACATGTAGTCTATAAAAAATAAATATTTAGTATCATAATTGTATTACATATTCTAATTTGGTGTTACATATTCAATAGTTTTTAACATTATCCCTCAGGAATATAGTCTTGTATTTGGTCTTATTCAATTGGTGTAATTGTTAAAAAGTTTAAAATTTGAAATTCAAATATTTGACACAATCAACATTAGCTAGTAGGTGAAGTGTATGATTAAAGTGAAATCATTAAAATAAATCAATCTTAACTATAACATAGGTTATGAAGTGTTTGTCAACTACATTATTAATTTTGTAATAATGATTGTAATATTTAATAGATATGATAAACCAGTTGATGATTTATCAACATATTATGTTGAAATTAAAAAAGAATTGTTTGTTTTAGAGTGTTGTTATGTCCCATGAAAAAACTGAAATTGCTATGTAACATATTGTCTTAATCTATATCGTTATTGTTCTTGTGATTCACGTCCGCCTGAATTTTCCATTGTCTATGATAACACCTGACATAATGTAAGACATGTACAAACTTAGTGAAAATATAATAAGATAGACATTTAGAACGAAAAGAAATAATAATAATAATAATAATAAAAACAATCAATGCATTTTGCATTATGTGACGTTGATTACCAAGGTTTAATAATTCCAACAACATTTTGAAATATGAACAAAATATAGTATTCACATAACCTTTGAAAAACTACCATTTTCAAATGAGTAATGTTATATTCTTTTACTAAATCTTTCTACCCATAAATAAAAAAAATGATACTTTATTTATTAGTGATCAGTTTAAAAGTGACATATGTTACTTTCTGTGGGTAGAAAAATAAGTAGGAGTATTTAGTAGGAGAATATATCATTTACCTTTTCAAATTTGCATAACAATTATCTTATTTGTTATGTAATTATGACATGTTTAATTCTCCATTAGTTATCATTATCTACTTCCGCTATCATTAAAAGCTTCTGATTGAATTTTTAATCAAATCAATCAAGTTCTTTCATCCCATGAATTTAAGATAAAAATGTATAGTACAAATTGTTAAAATACCTTTAATTAATTTTATAGTTATCCACAACATAAACACATTATTCCCATTGCAAATAAACTTCAATAAAATTAAACAGAAAATATATAACATTTACGAATATTTATGAAATCCTCAAAAACAGTTTAACACATCAATCTGCCTTACCCAACCAGATGGCAAAATTAAGAAATATACCAATTATCTAACAGATGGCAAAATTAAGAAATATACTAATTATGTATAGTACAAATTGTTAAAATATCAGTCAATAATTTATTGAGTATAATATTTATATATAATCATTGTAACTTTTTATATATGATTAATATATTATCCATTATTGTATGTATGAATTGTATTCAATATTTAATAATAATCAAATATAAATAATAAATAATATGTAAAAAAAATGTTGTGAACACCTCATTTTGTCCTACCTAATTGTGAAATCAAATAAAAATACAAGTTGCAAAGATGAACATTTTAGATTAAGTTTTATCAACTTATATATCCTGTGACATTCAAATCCCAATTAATGGTTGCATTCTCATGAGTTCTCACGTGACTTTGCCTATGTTAGAGGTAAAAAGATATTTGTTATTGATTCTAAGGTACACATATAGGGAGGAATATAAAGAGGGAAATCAGATCACACCATAGCATCCATCCAGAGTTTTCTCATCTGCCTTATCTATGTATACATCACACTCAGATCACTCATTTACCTCTCCACCATACAATCCCATCAGAACATACACACAAAGAGCATAAACCTTCCTCACACATACTATGCAAGCAATCACAACAAAAAACATAACATACGCATAAACCACATACCATAGCAATCAGAGATCAGTTATTCTACACACACAAGCAGTCAATATAACCTTATTTAACAAACCCGGTCATCACAACAAGCGGAATAATCCAAATTCACTAATCCTAGCATCTTCGAAAACAAGGTAGAAGTCAAGCATCAAAGCCGGCATTGTCGCCGTCGAGAAGAAAGAGGAAGGAGATGACCAACCGTGAACCCGCCGCTGTGATTGTCATTTATAACTTAATATTTATGTACATTATTCATTCATCTATAAAATGCTAAGTGATGTAGTTTTTATATTGCAGTTTTTTATATTGAAATATAAGAGTTTTTATTTCAGAGCAGAGAGGTTGTGAGCATTATTATAACAATATAGAGTTATTATGCAACAATGTTTTATTATATTTCTGATGAACACAATTGTATATGCATTACTTCATTAATATTAAACAACTACTCCAGTTGAATATATGCAAATTATGTAATACAATTTATTACATTACACATATATGACATGTAGACTACACTTTATAAACGATAGGAAAACGGGTTGACAAGCACGACAGTGCCTGTCAACACGCTGATATTAATAAAGGGAAAACATAAAATAAGTACATATGGTATAATTTATGTTTACTTATTTTACCCTTTAGCATTTATATAATTACACTTAAACTGCTTAATAAAATGAAAACATAAAATAACTATTGATGGTATAATTGAAAAAATTAACAATTACACCAATTGAATAAGATCAACTGCAAGACTATATTTCTGATGAACACAATTGTATATGTATCCCTTCATTAATATTGAACAATTACAACAATTAAACATATTCAACGGCAAATTACATTAAAAATTAAAAACTTATTTCAGTTAGATTACACGTTACAAATAATAGGCTTAATTTACATTAATTTAGATCATTAAATATAATAAATTATTCAAACTTGTGTACTTAATAAATAAATTAGTTTTATAATCTAATCTAAATTTATGCATATTAAAAAACCATTTATGTTAAATAACCATTTATGAAAAATTGTATTGGTGATTGGTATAGGATGGAACCAGCTAAGATTTCATATATTCAAAATTTCCTTCGAATCGAAACAACTTAACATTCGTTACGAACTCAAATCATTATTTACTATAATAAACTTGATTAATGAACCAAACGAGTTGAACTTAAAATAAAAATTGAGTTCATTAAACAAATAAGTTCAAATCGTTAGATTTATGACAAAAACTCGATTATATACATATACATATAGGAAACCTTTAAATTTATACACATTAAACAAATAACAGACATTCTAGTTGATAAAATGAACCTAATGAACTAAACATAACATGAACTTCTAACAAACTAAACAATTCAAGCTAAGAAGTATAACATCACATTCAAGGATTGTTGAATCTGATTGTAGACTTTTTGTGAATTGATTTTAATTTGTTGTAAAGGGTACATTAGGAAATTCATTATTTGCTCATCAAATCATATTTACATATTATTTCAATGCTTCATCAAATCGAATCAAATCAAGTTTAAGATGGAAAAATAGCTTATATCGAATTCATATCGAGTTTCGAACTTAGCAAATTCTTACCAAGTTGAACCATAGTTTGTCCGATTTCCAGCCATGCCTACCATATACTATTTATCTCTACTTGGTGTGATTAAAAAATCTTCCTTATTCTTTTCCATGTCTCAATCATATAAAATTGCACTGCAATTTAAATTTGTTTCTAATGTACCTATTATGTCCCATTCCAAAGCTCAAATACAAACCAAAATCCTTACACCAAATGTCAAGAAAAAAACAATGTCATTTAATACTCAGCATAAACTTTATAGCAGCAAGGATAGCAGAAATGCCCTAAACATCAGAAGAGCATAGAGAAGCGAAGAGAGAGTAGCTTGTGAAGACAACAGAAGAAAGAAAAACACAACCAGCCATGGAAACAATGGTCTTCTCCGAAGGAATAGATGACTATACTAGGTTACTACCTTCATCATCACAAAGAGTGTCATGTGTACAAATGTCATACACCCAACCATAGATATGAAAAAATGAACAAAAGTTGGGGTGAAATGCATAGCTTTAGTATAACAACAAAGATAAATATGAAAACATCCAATGAGTGTAAGTAGCAATGCACAACAGAACACTTCTTTCAGAGTCCAGAGTGGGCCAAACCTGGATGCAACCATGAAATTCTGATGCATTCAATTGCTACAAGAGATATTCTGCAACTGTTACAAGTTTTTACCTGGTTTAGTCATTATTCCTGGGTGTAGAATCACCCCAATCTGGGAGGGTGCAATCATCCATGCCTGGTCATAAATTATATTATTCAATTTTGCATATATCAGATAGCCAATTTGTTTCAGGAATTGCTTTGGTCTTAAGTCAAAAGGTAATCTATCCTCAAGCATCATTTGATTTAAATTTGAATTTTAATAAGATTAGCCAAGCAAATCCTTGAACAAGTTGGGATTCTGGCCTGTGGGTGTCACACCCATCTGCCTGACTTTTGCATCCTTTTCTAAAGAATCTTTAGTGTTTGGACCCTTTACAGGTTGGGACAAAGGTATCACTATCGTTTCTCCGGTAGTACCTCCAGTCGCTGCATTTGACAACTCAGATAAAAGATCTACATTATCCATACTGTCAGGGATAGAATAGTCACCACTACCACTTTGTCCACTTGCAATAGTCTCTGCATAGAGTGCCATAATATCAGGTGCATTTTTAGCACCGCTGCTGTCGCCATGATTTACAGTAGATATAATAGTTGGGTCAAGAAGTCCTTCCAATTGCTTGAACGGATCAACAGAGGGAGGTGCAGTAGTGACGGTTGGTTCACTTAAGTCAAGTAAATCGGGAGGAGGTTGATGATTAGTTTTCTCCCTAGATACTTCTTTGGATACAGCTGCAGCCTTTGACTCCTGAGATCTCTCTGCAGCACTAGCACTAGGCTTCAGAACCCTGTTGCTAGCTGATGATCTTCTCTCAGGTTTGGTTGACCCACCACCAAACAAAGAAGCAGCAAGCTTTTGCTTTTCAGGATTAATTTCAATCTGTGCCTTTCTTGAGTCAAAGCTATCACGTACTTTTGAACTTGTAGCAGTTGCACCATCTACCTGGGTTACCCCATTCACTGGTTTTTGGGTAGTAGAATTTGAGGAAGATGTTGGAGATGAATATGTTGGCCTACCCCACTTCTTCTGAACACCATCAAGCCGTAGCTTGAGCTCAGATGAGCCAGTCTCTAATGCTAATCCCACTGACGAAACCTGATGATTGGTCTCCCTAGAATACAATGTCTCGGGTACTGGAACAAGGTCTGTTGAGGATGAAAGTGAAACCGGGGAAGCTTTTGATGGCATTGGAGGCTTTGGAAGTTCGTATGCCTCAAATCTCAATACATGCTGTGAAGATTCAAGCTGATCCTGGCTTCTGAAGTTGCTTATGTTCCCCAATCCATTCCGCACATCCTCAGGAATGTAGGGCTGAGCACCCTTTTCTAAAGACTGCTGGACATAGTCATTGAGGAAAGAGAGATTCTTATCAACCTGCATAGAAGATCAACCATTTTAACAATCATAGATCAGAAAAAACAATAATGTTCATATGGTAATATGTGTTGTTCCCATGCACATTGCCACTAAATTTAGTGGAAAAAGATAAGCATGTATACAATACAAATTTAAACTGCTATGAATTTTAACATGCCAACAACCAAATGGTCAAAAGATTTTGTTAAAGAATATAATTTTTTTAGAAAAACCAATTACTTTATAACTGACTTGAATAAAGATATGGGCAGAAGAGATACAAATATCTGAATTTTGAACTGTAGCAATGGTATTTGACTACAGGATGACAACCACACAAAGCAAATAAGAAAGGTAATTAGAAAGCGGTATGTGGTTCTGTCCCAACAATCCAAGTGCATCCTTTCACCCAACGAGGTTTTGGAAAACCAAGGGATTCTGGTTTTAGACTAGCATCATACATAAAGTGAGAACTTCACAATAAAAACTACATTTTCTTTAACTAAGCCACTGATAAAAGTATTCCTGGATGTGCAACCACCAAAGAACTTGAATATTCTTCTATAGATGAACACACAATTTTATAATCTTACAATGATGATATGAGAATATTAAAAAAATAACAGTAACCTCAATGTCTTCACAACTTGCATCTTGAGGTATTATTTTTTCAATAGCTGGTGCATCCAAACCAATAAGGGCTTGCAATTCATAAGCACGTTGTTGCAAATCAGTCGAGTGGGATGCTAACAATTCTTCAACCAAAGATTGACACTGCAAGCAGACAAGAAAAAGTTAGACATTGGTAAGAACCGTATCAGCCAAATTTCAGTTCCAAGTAGTAGTGAAGAAAACAGGATGTTATTATTCAATAACACCCTTGATGCATGAGAAATGACATTAGAAAATAATCAAACAAAAAATACAGTGAAAAACAAATGATTAACAAGAAAGCAGTTAGATGAGCAGCTTATTGAATAGAACATCACTTTTTTTTTTAAATTCATATTCATAAAATATACATATTTATATATAACTCGAGAAAGAAGCATTTCCAAGAAATTAAAAGGGAGGCCCAATGCACCATGCTCCCATCTGGTGGGAGCCAGGGAAGAGTAGATGTACACAATCTTACACCCGCAAGCGGAGAGGATATTTCCAAGGTTTGAAACCAAGACCTCCAAGTCACAAGGCAAACAACTTCATCATTGCGTCGAGGCTCTCCCTCTTGATAAAGAATGGATTCCAGGAAACTAATTGAAACATATTTTTAAAACCTAATATTTATATTCCATAGTGTCAAAACTACGTCCTTAAATTATGAACCAAATAAAATAAAGCTTTATGGATCAAAATAGATATGTAAAACATGATTACTGCAACTAGCAACACCTTAGAAGAATGTTTAAAATGCAGTATCATTGGGATGAGATTCTTTTGTATGATGATGTGGTAAGGTGATATCTATTATGATTGATAATCAAGGGTTACATTGTGATCAACATTAAACATCAACTTGCATTATAAAAAGCCCATGAGATAGAAAAGATACTGAAATTTAACCTAAATTCTAAGAAAATACCTCAGGTAGCATGTCAACTTTCCTCCCAGCAGCAATTTCAAATGCATATATTTTCATCAATGCTGAAATCGC